TTCTGAGTATGGTCTCTAGTTGCATCCATTTACCTACAAAAACCTCGAGTTTATATTTTTTAATAGCTGAATGATATTCCAGTGTATAAAAATACCAATCTTTTTTATCCATTCCTCAGTTGATGGGCATTTGGGTTGTTTCCAACATTTAGCAATAACAAATTATGCTGCTATAAACATGGGTGCACATATATCACTGTGGTGTGATGTTTTTAATTCTGGGAAAATACTCAGAAGGGGACTAGCTGGGTTAAGTGGGACGTCTAATTGTAGTTTTGTGAGGAATCTACAAACTGATTTCCACAGTGGTTTCACCAGTCTGTACTCCCACCAGCAGTGCAGTAGGGTTCCTTTTTCCCCACAGCCTCTCCAGCATTTGTTAGTGGTTGATTTCTTGATGATAGCCACTCTTTCTGGGATGAGATGGAATCTCAGCATTGTTTTATTTTATTTTATTTATTTATGTTTTTAATTTTAAAGAGTGAAAGAAGGATAACAATAATGGGGGGGGCTTACCAAATTACAGACAAAGTGGTAGGAAATTATCAATGGTTATTGTTTTACATATTGTTATCTACAAGATAGTTTCTCAGGAAAGCAAGTAGACAAATAATAGTGAGTTACAGACAAAAGAGGTAGGAGATTATCAATAGTTGTTGTACTCTACTTAGGTATCTTCGAAAAAAAATAAATAGAACCATACATGAGTGACCTATTGAATAATCATTAACTATTCTCAATGGTTGTTGTAGGAAACACATAATAATAAACATGCATCCATTTATAATAGGATAGGCGCAATACAAACATTAGAGAGTTATGGATAGATTAGTAGGAAAATATCAATGACTGCTGTAATACATGGTGGTATCTTAGAAGTGGTATCTCGGGAAGACAGAGATACGCAAGAAGGATCTAACAAGTAGTTACAGCCTAAGAGTTGTCAAAAATCAAGTGAGCCATCTTTGGCCCAAGCCATTTTTTGTAGTGTTTTCTCTCCAGCCTCCCATCGCATTGGGACTCCACAACCAGTTAATGTCCACTCCCCAACTGTCAGCACAGGCAGCAGGAATCCTGTTGCAGACTTCTCCGGAGCTCCACCACAGCCTGTACTGTCAGGGGAAGCATGGCTTCCAGAGAGTCTCTGCATGTATTGTGCAAAGTCCTCCTGGTTTACAGCTTCCGAGCAGCTCTGATGACCCCAGTCCACAGGACCTCTGACCCCTCGGGCTTAGTCTGCATCCTCATGTTCTCGGAGTCCTTATTCAGCAGCTGTTCCTCTGCTGACTCTAGACCTTTTTGGTTCTCAATGGCAGGAGCAAGAGTGGCCCGTTGTATAGCATGTATTCCCAGGGGTTTTTCCATGTTTGAATGATTCACACACGTCCATAGGTGGGCATTTGCAGCCAGTGCGTGGTGGGCCAATTGTGTCATTGTTTCTGTGTGTCATGATAGTTCTCAATTGAGCAGCAGCAGCCAGCCTGAAGGCCAGTGCGCCACAGCGCTCTCAGCGGCATGGCTCCCTGTGCGCCAGGGGCCCTCCCTCCGGAGGCCTATGAGGCAGGAAGTGAGCCAGCTGGAAGACAGGCACTCCCCACCTGTGTCGTGCGCCGGGGGCCTATGAGGCAGGAAGTGAGCCAGCCAGAAGACAGGCACTCCCCGCCTGTGGCTCCCCGTGCACCTGGGGGCCTACCTCAGTGTTGTTTTAATTTGCATTTCTCGAATGACTAATGACATTAAACATTTTTTCATGTATTTATTCGCTATTAGTATTTCTTCATCTGAGAAGTGTGTATTCATCTCAGATGCCCATTTTTGGTTTGGGTCTTTGAACTTGGAGTCTTGATTTTTTTTTTTTAATTCTTTATATGTTCTACATAGAAGTCCTTTGTCTCAGGGGCAATTAGCTAAAATTTTTTCCTAATTCATGGGTCATCTTTTTACTTTATTGGTGATTTCTTTTGATCTGCAAAAACTTTTTTTTTTTTTTTTTTTTTTTTTTTTTTTTTTGGTGTTTCTCCGGTACCGGGAACCGAACTCATGACCTTGCGCTTGCCAGGCAGGCGCTTTTTGCAAAAACTTTTCAATAAGATGAGATCCCAGTTGTTGATTCTTTGAAGTATTTCCTGTGCAGTTTGGTGTTTGTTCATGAACTCTCCGCCTACCCCTATGTCTTCAAGATTTTTACCTACTTTCTCTTCCAGTAGATTTAGCATTTCTGTTTTAATATTTAGATCTTTGATCCATTTTGACCTTAGTTTAGTGCATGGTGAAAGACATGAGTCTAGTTTTAGTCTTCAGCAGTGGAAAGCCAGTTTTTCCAGCACTGTGTGTTAAAGAGGCTATCTTCCAGTGAACATGTTTAGTCTTTTTGTCAAAGATAAGGTGGCTGAGTGTGTTTGTAACTGTGTCTGCATCTTCTAATCTGTTCCATTGATCTTTAGGTCTGTTTTTTTGCCAGTACTATGCTGATTTTATCACAGTAGCTTTGTAGTATAATTTCATGTCAGGGATTGTGTTGCTTCCTGCCTTTCCTTTGTTTCCCAGAATTGCTTTTGCTATTGTAGGCTTCTTCTGGTTCCAGATGAGTTTTAGAAATGTTTTCTCTAGATCTGTGAGGTATACTAATGGTATTTTAATTGGGATTGCATTGAATCTGTACAACAATTTTGGGATTATGGCCATTTTCACAATGTTATTACCTGGTTCCTTGTTGTTTTTAAGAGATCCTTCCTTTCATGTTCATTAGTGGCAGTGCTGTCTTCAAGATCTGAAAGTCTTCAGCTTCATTCAGGCAGTTTTGCCAGCTTTCAATGGAAGTTTTAATTTCCTAGATACCTGTTTGAATCTGTTTCATGCA